CCCCACTCGTCTTTACAACAGCCCAGATCTTCTTTCTCTTTCTCCTGGTAATGCAGAGGCGGGCGGGGGAGGGCGGGGAAGGCGGGCGCGCGCGCGAGAACCCTTCACAGAACTCCCTGATAAAATCTATTGTCTGCGCCCCCACTTCCTCGGAAAGGGTTCTACGTCGCTGCGTGCCGCGGCCAGGAAGGAACCGGCGACTCAATCACGCGTTTTCTCAGAAGTGTCCGCAATCTCTCGCCGCACACGCGCCCACGCACATCCGCACTGACCTAAGCCACGCGCGCCCGGAGAGATACGAGACCCTCATCCACGCGGATACGCACAGGTGTGGATGTCTCATGCCGGTCCTACGCGGAGAGGACGTCCCCGAAGATCCCCGAGGGACACGAAGGACAAGGCCGGAGGGGCGAATCGCCAGCGCACGCACATTTGGCGAATCCTTTGCACTGATGGTAAGACCTAATTTTGTTTTTTAATCTATTTTCTATTTATTTATCTATCTATTATCAATTTCTTTACAAGGCTCCTCCTAAAAAATAGTAATAAAAAGGCTTATTTTGGTTCCTTCCTCTTTATCTACCATCAGATATCCATCCCCCATGCCCCCCACCATACCTCTTTCTACCATCAAAACCATACTACAACTTCCCCTATACCTCTTACCTACCATCAGAACCATGCTACAACCCCCTCCTCCCTACCCCCCTTACCTACCATCAAGTACCCATACTACAACCCTCCCCTTTACCCTCACTTACCCTCAACCCCCCCTAACCCCATTACCTACCATCAAGTACCATACTACAACCCTCCCCTTTACCCTCAACCCCCTACCCCACCCTCCCTCCCACATCCTACCATCAAGAACCAAGCTACAACCCCCTCCCCTTTACCCTCACCTACCCTCAACCCCCCCCTCCACCCCTCACTACCTCAACCCCCCACCCCTACCCACCACCACCCACATCCCCACCCTCCTTCCCATCCAACCATCAAGAACCAAGCGACGGTCTGAGTCACTTGCCCCCCAACTAGCAGGTGTGAGTCGCAGAGGTGCTCTGACCAGGACCGGGCTAATAGAATTTGCTATGAGGTGCGCCTGGGTCGGCCGGGATGCAGCCGCGCTAACCAGGTTGAGAAAGGGATAGAAGATGCACGCAAAAAAACGCACGCATTTGCAAGGACAAGGACGCACAAGGACCGCACGCACAGAGACGATTGTCGGTATTGCGTTACGCGGTGTAGTGAAGGTGGTGGTGATAAGGAGGAGAGTAATGTAATATTCATGATTATATTAATGATAAATAAAATATAGACTATTAATATAAAAATAAAAAATAGTATGAGTAATCATAGTAGTAATAGTAACAAAATAACAATAATAGTAATAATACATAAACAATAATAATAATAATAATAACAATAAAACAACAATAATAATCATAGCAATAATAATGACAGTAACAACAATAATAACAATAACAACAATAATAATGCAACAGATCAGAGCTGACACTACAGCAACACCCGCAGCCCGGGCATGAATGAGAACGCCCATCCTCACCGTGCAAGAGACGTATCTGACCGGTTTCAATCCATTTCCGACGAAGATCTAATCGAAACCGGTCATCTCTTGCACTCTGAATATCGGCCGTTTTTTTTTTTTTTTTTTTTTTTTTTTTTGAGCGGTGCGAGGCTCGACCCCGTGAATATTCGCACATACGGACATGCATATACGAAGAAATAAATGCATATCAATCTGATAGATATACATTTATCAGCTTATCTATCTGATTGATATACTTATCTATCTGATAGATATACATTTATCAGCTTATCTATCTGATTGATATACATTTATCAGCTTATCTGATAAATATCATGATCGCTTATCTGATAGATATACATTCATCAGGTTATCTATCTGATAGATATACATTCATCAGGTTATCTATATGATAGATATACATTTATCAGCTTATCTATCTGACAGATATACATTTATCAGCTTATCTATCTGACAGATATACATTTATCTATCTGATAGATATACTTTATCAGCTTATCTGATTACATTTATCAGCTTATCTGATAGATATGCATTTATCAGCTTATCTAAGATCATTTATCAGCTTATCTATCTTTATCAGCTGATCATCTTATCTATCATGCTTATCTATATACATGCTTATCTATCATGATATGATATACATTTATCAGCTTATCTATCATTTATCAGCTTATCTATCTGATAGATGCCTATCTATCTGATAGATATGCATATCTATCTCATACAATAGATATGCATGTCTAGACTGATAGATATGTATTTATTTCAGTGTATAAGCATGTCCTTATATACGAATATTCATTGGGTCGGGCCTCGTATAATTTTAACAAATCGGCCGATGTGAATACCCAATAATAATAATAATAATAATGATGATAGTAAATAATAATAACAACAATAATAATAACCATAACAATATTAACAACAATAATAATAACCAAACAATAACAATAATAATAACCATAACAATATTAACAACAACAATAATAATAACAATAACAATAATACTAATACTAATAAAAATGAAACCTTAATAGCAATAACAAAAACAACAAGAACGTCAACAGTCCTTCCTGACTGTCAATCTAATGATCCAACACCCCCCCTCCCCCAGCCACAAGTAAAAAGCAAAACAAATAACAATAGAATAAACAATAAACAAAAAAAAGACAATATAAAACAAAACAAATAAAATAATTTCCAAACACAAACACGTTTACCGATTAGGCCTTCTCTATCTGCACACATCGGATTTCCTCAGGCCAGTCAGGCAAGCACTATCACCATGTCTGCCTTCTGAGTTTATATAAAAAAAGAAGTCTGAAGCTTGCATGCAGGTGTGTACACTCGCATGTGCGTGCAGACAGTGGGGGTTGGGGAGAGGGGGGGAAAGACAAGGGGATTGGGAAGGGAGGGGGAGAGGGGGAAATGAGACAGCGAGAGAGAGAGAGAGAGAGAGAGAGAGAGAGAGAGAGAGAGAGAGAAGAGAGAGAGAGAGAGAGAGAGAGAGAGAGAGAGAGAGAGAGAGAGAGAGAGAAAGTGAGTGAGTGAGTGAGGGAACACGAGGAAGGCTTTAAAAAATAAAATAATAAAAAAATATAAATAAAAAATCCAAAATTAAGCAAACTCATACATAATAACACCACAAAAACGAATAAAAAGCAAAAGCCATTAGGAAAGACGCTCTCGGTCTCTCTCTCTCTCTCTCTCTCTCTCTCTCTCTCTCAGCTGACATCAGCTCACAGACCCAAACCCGCACTCTTTCTCCCACGGACGCAGCACCTAGTCGCCCCCTTTAGGTAATCCTCATACAACATACACCACTGGCCTTGTACCGACGAAGGGGCAGGATTGGGACCCCCTGCAAGGTTCCTTCGTCCGATTGGAGGCTCATACTCACCTGCAAAAAAAGGAGAAAACATATTAATTATACAATATATGGAGGAAAATTGAAAAAAAAAAAAAAAAAAAAAAAAAGAAAAACGTATTAATTTTACATGGAGGAAAATTGAAAAAGGAGAAAACATTAATTATACAATATAAGGAGGATTAAAAAAGGACAAAACATTTATAAAATATATGGAGGATAACTGAAAGTAGAAAATACATTAATTATACAACTTAGGGAGGATAAATCAATCAATTAATATACCGATATATATACTGCGGATGTTTTGTACACAAGGGACAGTACGAATATACACAAATACATAATGTAGGAATGCATATATCAATAATCTATTTTCTCTGTCATGTAATCTATTTTACCCGTGAATTTGTATAGAAACGCATGTTTATACATTAAGCCTAAGTATGCAGTGTGTGTTTATTTGTAAATTAGAATAAAAAGCAATTATTAATACATAGTTGTATTAACTTCCACACGTTCATTCTTCACCTCTCGCGTTCATTGCTTAGATCGAACCACCTCCCCTCCCTTCGCTTTATTCCCTCCTTCCCTCTCCCTAGCCCTCTCTCCCTCCTTCCCCTCCAGGTCCACCTCCTTCGCTCCCCTCCCTCCTCTTCCTTCTCACCCCTTTCCCCTCCCTCTCCCACCCACCCCTCCCTTTCCATTCTCCCCTCCCCTCCCCCCTCTTCCTTTTCATCCCTTTTCCCCTTCCTTCTCCTCCCTTTTCCCATCCGTCCATCCTTACCCCTTTCCCCACCTCCCCACCCCCTCCTACCTCCCCTCCCCTCCTCCCTCCCACCCTTCCCTCCCTCCCTCCTCCCCCGCACAGAACCCCCCCCCCCCTCTCGTAGTGTGACTTCACCCCCGTGGCACAGCTCACCAGGTCGCCACAGGAGCCGCCCGCCAAGAAAGCCAAGCCCCGGGGTTAGAGTCACGCCTCCCACGGGCGACTCTCCCTCCCCCCCCGCCCACCCACCCGGCCTAATACACATGTCCCGGGGGTCACTGAAGGACGCCGCCGCTCTCATCCGGGGACTTCGGGGCTGGGGGCTTTTCTTAGTGTACGGCGTTTTTTTTTTTTCTTTATTATTATTATTTTTTTTTTTACGTGCGTTTGAAGGAGAAGGCCAATGTGTGCGGGTAAATGTATGCATGCACGTAATTAGGCACGCTTACAAACAGAGACAGACACAGACAGAGACATATACACATACACGAACACAGACATAAACACACTTATATTCTCTCCCTCCCTCCCTCTTCCCGCCCCGCCCCCTCTCTCTAATTAATCACCCAAAGGCAAGAAAGAAAAAGGAAAAAAGAAAGAAGAAAGAAAGAAAGAAAAAAAAAGAAAAAAAAGGAAAGAAAGAAAAAGGAAAGAAAAAAAAACACCCGACAAAAATCCGCATCGAAAACCCAAACACGAGCCGAAGAACCAAACCTGACACCACCGCCGCGAGTCTAAATTATGAATAAATGTCGAAAGCAGTCCCCGGCCACTCGCTTGATTACCGCTAAATGTCGAGAGGCTCGCCTATCAAAGCAGAAGCCCGTCGTCAGCAGCCTCCCCTTGCCCCTCAGCCCTCTCAGCCAGCCGTCGTCAGCAGCCTCCCCTCGCCCCTCAGCCCGTCGTCAGCAGCCTCGCCCCTCAGCCCGTCAGCCCGTTCAGCCCGTCAGCCAGCAGCGCCCTCAGCCCGTCAGCCCGTCGTCAGCAGCCTCCCCTTGCCCCTCAGCCCGTCAGCCCGTCGTCAGCAGCCTCCCCTTGCCCCTCAGCCCGTCAGCCCGTCGTCAGCAGCCTCCCTTGCCCCTCAGCCCGTCAGCCTCGTCAGCAGCCTAGCCCGTCAGCAGCCTCCCCTGCCCTCAGCCGTCAGCCCGTCGTCAGCAGCCTCCCCTTGCCCCTCAGCCCGTCAGCCCGTCGTCAGCAGCCTCCCTTGCCCCTCAGCCCGTCAGCCCGTCGTCAGCAGCCTCCCCTTGCCCCTCAGCCCGTCAGCCCGTCGTCAGCCCCTCCCCTCGCCCCAGCCCGTCGTCAGCAGCCTCCCCTTGCCCCTCAGCCCGTCAGCCCGTCGTCAGCAGCCTCCCCTTGCCCCTCAGCCGTCAGCCCGTCGTCAGCAGCCTCCCCTTGCCCCCAGCCCGTCGTCAGCAGCCTCCCCTTGCCTCAGCCCGTCAGCCCGTCGTCAGCAGCCTCCAGCCCAGCAGCCTCCGCCCCTCAGCCCGTCGTCAGCAGCCTCCCCTTGCCCCTCAGCCCGTCAGCCGGCAGCCCGTCGTCAGCAGCCTCCCCTTGCCGTCAGCCCGTCGTCAGCAGCCTCCCCTTGCCCCTCAGCCCGTCAGCCCGTCGTCAGCAGCCTCCCCTCGCCGCCCACCGCCCCTCTCTGACGCGGCGCCGGCCATCGCTGACAACGTCTAGGTAAGTACTTATACAGACCTTGATCGCCGACTCGCTAAACTGATCGGGAACTACGGCGATGACCCCGGGGAACGACGCCGACCTCCGGAACTACGCCCCCCCCCCCCCCCCCGGAACTACTCCGACTTGGAAACTACTACGCCGACCCCCCCCGGAAACTACGCCGACCTACACGCCCTAGCTCGCCCCGACACCGACCTCCCGAACGAATCAGTAACAGTCATATAAAAAGTAAATAAAAAATAACTACCGTCGCCCCACCCACCCCACCCCGGCCGCCGCCGCCTCCTCCGCGCAAGAACTTTCACTCTCCTGCGGCAGTTACTTCACGCCGCTGCGTATTATATTCCCCAAGCGGAGTACAAAAAGGGGCTCCTAATTAAGGTTAATATGTGTAGTTTAATCTATAAGGGCCCATAAACTGGAGCGAAGCGGACACCGCCGATCCGGGGACACTCGCTCCGCCCCTGTGCCCTCTCGCCCCTCCCCCCCCTCGGTCAACCGCCCCCTCCCCCTTCCTCGACCCACCGCCACCGTGCCCTTACACTCCCCCCCCTCCCCCCTTGGCACACCGTCCCCGTTCCCTCCCCCTCCCTCCCTCCCTCCCTCCGCCCCATGCCCTGGCCCCTCTCCCGTTCATTCCTTTACGAAGGATGTTGTCCTATGCTAAGAACCCGCTGGTATTTTTTTTCTCTCTCTCCTTACCTTTCCTCCCTCTCTATTCCCATCATTCGTAACTCCCTTACCTCCCAACCTTCTGTTCTACCTTATTCCTTCCCCTCTCTCCCTCCTCCTATTTTCCTTCCTTCCCTCCCTCTTCCCTCTTTTCCTCGCCATAATTTTTCCTTTTTGTTCACAGTCTGTATATACACTTCTTTCTACCCTCGTCTCCTCCTCAGGAAAAAAAACAATCGAGAATTTTTTCTTTCTCCTCTTCGCTGAGCCATTACGGAAATAAATAAGGAAATACTGCATTAGTGGCATACAAACTACACAGACACGCACATACACACTGCACATACATTACACACAGCATTAGTGGCACACAAACTACAACATACACAGACACGCATATACACAGTACACATACACAGACACGCATATACACAGTACACACACACAGACACGCATATACACAGTACACATACACAGACACGCATATACACACTACCCATACACACACACGATAATTGCCGTGCTTTGTAGTATGCTAACATCTGCCTTAGCCCTAAGACCCACCTTTTTGCCCGGTCTACCTATTCAATTGCCTTTTTTTTCTTTTCCTTTTTTCTTTTTTTGTGCGGCCAGATGCCCATTGATAATCCTGGTCGGCCGCCCAACTGCCTTGCCCCATATATAGGCCTATACGCCTATAGCTCCGAGGGTTCTGTTCATTTTAATTTTATTTAATTTCTATTTTATTCTATTTTATATATGGGATCACATTCGTAATTAATCTAATGTGTTCATTTATTCTATTTTATATATGGGATCATTTATGGATGTGTTTTCAATTGAATATTTTAGCCCCATATATAGGCTTATGCGATTATCTCTCAAGGTTCTGTTTTTAATTTTATTTATTTCTATTCCATTCTATTTTCTCTGTGGGATCATTCGCAATTCATATAATTTATTTTCGTTTATATTTTTCGACACTCTCCCCCGAAAAAAAAAAATTATTTCTATTTCGCCAATAATTTTTCGCCCCTCCTCCGACAGAAAAATAATTTCTGTTTTGCCAATAATCTTTCGTTATTCTCATCTACCTTTTCCGTCTTCCGATCCGAAATCACTTTTTCTTGGTCGCTCGAACCGTCGCCGCCACACGCAACGGAGACAATAATTACCATTGTCATTATTATAATTACAGATAATGCTGCCGGTGTGTATATATATATACTGTATACATCTTTCTGCTTAATAGCAATTAATATTTAATTACTACTGCTAATGAATCCATTATTAGTTCTTTTGCTAACATTAATACGGTGATTGTATATGTAAGAAATTCCGAACCCCCCCTCCCCCCCCACTACCGTCACCTCCCCCCTTCTCTCAGTAAATTCACACCTGCATTCCTTAATCATAAAGCAACGCAAATAATTATAATGCAGTAGTTTAAATTGCCAAACATCAGCTTAATTACCACAAAAATTCGTGGCTACAATTAAAATTTCACCGCAAACATGCCTTGCGCTGGATACAAAAAATATACATATATACATACATATTACAAAAAGATACAAAACTGTCATCATAATCGGTATAATGAATATCAAAATAATAACAATTAGCGGTGACCTAGCTTTCCCAATGTTTGATTACATATCTATATTACTTTTTGTTGAACCTTAATACTTGATATTAACGACGACGATCTCACAGAAAATTGACATTCTATATTTTATCATTCTATATTTTATAACGGAAGAACGGCAATTTTAGGCGCGAGAGGAACAGTTATATAAATCGCGTTACATCCAGAAAACGATTAACATGAAAGCAAATAAACACCCAAAATAAAGCTTAAAAAGGAATAAAAATAAAGCTTAGGCAAAAATTTAAAAAAGCTTAAATAAACAAAAATAAAAATAAAGCTTGAATAATGGAGGAAGGAATAGGGATGGGAAGCGAGAGAGAGACCACTTTCCTTTGCGTAGATAAAGAAGAGGAATAGATGGAGAAGATAACGGAAGGAGGAGGACCAAGGAAGAGGAAAAAAAGAATACGGAGGAGGAAGAGAATGAGGAGAAGGAAGAGGAGAAAGAAAAAATGACGGAGAAGGAGGAGGAGAAATCGAAGTAAAGACGGAGAAAAGGAGATAAGGAAAACAGAAATAAGAGGAGAGAATAAGAAAAGAGCCTCTCTGTCTTATGCTTAAATTCGCTTCTCATCCTGGGTCTTCATCTCTCGCATCTTACCATCTTTATCAAACACTTCAATAATTTTAAATTGATATTAACGGTATCGTCATCGTCATCATCACGACTACTTTCATTATCATCATTTTCTTTATAATCATTAGTCACTTACGATCGCTACTATCAAAGGACCTTCCATTATTCACTACTATTCCTACGATCACTGTCATTCCTATCAGCCTTACTACTACTATAACTGAAACGATCACTACAACTAATATTACTATTCTTACCATCACTACTACTATATTCCTATCAAGTCTTACTACTACTATAACTGAAACGATCACTACAACTAATACTACTATTCTTACTATCACTACTACTAAATTACTATGTCTCACTACTACTACAACGGTCACTACAATCAATGCTACCATACTTACTATCACTACTACTATATTCCTATCAGTCTTACCACTATACTTACAATGATTACTACAACTAATACTACCATTCTTACCATCACTACTACTATATTACTATCAAGTCTTACTACTACTAAAACTGAAACGATCACTACAACTATTACTACTATTCTTACTATCACTGCTACTAAATTGCTGTCTCCCTACATCGATTACTACAACTAATACTACCATTCTTACCATCACTACTACTATATTACTATCAAGTCTTACTACTACTATAGCTACAACCGCGCCAGTCCCCATACCTTGATGAATATATTAATTACCCGATGCATATGCTACGCAATTCTCTCTCGCCGAGTTGATACAATCAATCCACTGAATAAAGGTATTCTATTATTCAACCGATTAATCAAACGAATTTTCTGGCGCGATCGACAGATAATTAAATAAATGAATGGGTGGAAAAAAGAATAATTTTTGTATTTTGTCTTGAAGAGGTAATGTTATTTTCTCCTATTTTCTTTTTCTTTTTAAATCGAGTTTATTCATATAGTCACGATTTCTTTTTTGGTTTATTTATCTATTTATTTTTATTTTTTCTTGCCGAATTCATTCATATCATATCCACGATTATTAATTAATGTATCTATTATTAATATATCTTTAATATATTTACCGAATTCATTCATATTCACGATTCTACGCACGTACTGTATAGCGCACGCTTGTAGAAATCGTAATTCATAAATTGTATAATAATAATAATAATAATAATATAATAATAATAAATAATAATAATAATAATCAATAATAATAATAATAATAATCTGTATCATAATAATAAACTGAACAAATCAAAATAAGAAAAATAAATAAATAAATAAATAATATGACCACGAAAAAAACAAATATATGCCCTGATATGAGATGCACATGTATAATAAAAATCACGTCCATATCGGTATCACAAAAATGAATAAACATGAAAAAATATAATGGATAAATAAAAACACGCACAAGTACACATACTTGCAAACATATATCCGTATACACAAGCGTGTGTAAACAATTATATGCATACCTAAAACTGTAAATGATAGTATGCGTACACAAAAAACAACAGATATAGGTGTGCGTATGAAAACAAACACACACCCACACACAATGTTTGTTTGTATGTATATGTATGTATGTATGTATGTATGTATATATGTATATATATATATGTATATATGTATATATAGTATATATGTATATATATATATATATATATGTATATATAGTGGTATATGTATATATATATACTATATATATATATATGTATATATATGTATATATATATATATGCATGTATATATATATATATATATATATATATATTATATATATATATGTATGTATATATATATGTATATATATATGTATATATATATATATGTATATATATATGTATATATATATATATATATATGTATATATATGTATATATATATATATATATATATATATATATATATATATGTATATATAGTATATATATATATATATATATATATATATATATATATATATATATATATATATATATATATATATATATATATATATATATATATATATATATATATATATATATATATATATATATATAATATATATGCATGCTTCAGT